ACTTAAAAAAAAAGCAAACAACTCCCCTTCTTCCCTCTCCCCTCCCCCCCCCCCCCCCCCCACTTTAAACAGTATGTTTTTAACAAAATTTTCGTGGGAGAACTGTAAATACTGGCAGAATATTTAACATGCTTTGTCCGTCCTTCATCATTAATGATTTTTTTTTTTTGTTCGTTTTTTTAACCGTAATCTGTAAAGTCGCGTATATTTGACAAGGAAACTCAACGAGCTATTCCCGCTTTTCTTATAAATACCCAATAGCATATCAGGATTGTAAGAGTTGACGGCAAGTCGGATTTTAGGGATGCCCGTTCCAGCGGGGGACCCGCCGTGTGGTTGGGAGGGGGGAGAGGGGACCCGGCTGATGTGGGGCCGGATTCGGGTGCCGGCCCCGTCGGCATCGCCGGGGGTTTGTCTCTGGCTGGCGCGGCGGGGGTGCCTTGGAGCTTCGCCTGGAGCGTGGGGGGGAGAAGGAGCGTTCGGAGAAGGCGATGGTCCGTGTAACCTGTCTAAGTCCTGCTTCCTTGGAGGTGTTTTTGGTGCAGGGAGGGGGGGTTGGTCCGTTGGCTCTGGGGGGAGCGGGAGCTGCCGGCGCCGCGGGTCGGGGGGAGCAAGAACTGCTGCAGTCTCACGTTTTTACACTACATAACGTCTAACCTACCTCAACTCTCAGTCATTACAAATTCGCACGCTTCAGACTTCTACACAAAACTCGAAATCTATGCACAGCTCCTTTACCCCTTGCTGCTGAGAGGCTGTTTCCAAGCAAAATCTTTCCCTTTACCCGCCCTGGCGGCCGCGCTCATCCCGCCCGCACCGAAGCCACGGGGGTCACGGAGTTCGAGGGGGGAAGGAACGTTTTTAATCGCTTCAGAATGGGATGTGGGGACCTCGTTTTGCAGCAGGTCGTGGCCACAATGGTGCTAGAACAAAACCCGTGGTGGAAACCCCGGGGAGAGCTCGGCACGGGGAGCCCCAACCGGCTTCTTCCATCCCGCTGCAGGTGGGAAATGAGGGGTGCATTTCGGGTCCCCCCGTCCCGATGCTCTCGGGATGAGGCGTGGGAAGGAGAAGGAAACCAGAATCCCTGAGGTGCCTCAATTGCTGATTTTTCCTTTTAATACTGGAGTACGCTTTGTGGGCTCTATAAGGCATATTTTTATTAAATGAAATCTTGTAATACAAACGGTGCTATGGTGTTTTAACAAACTGTATCACGCTTCTGCCTGATTCCATCTCGCTGAGGTGCTACTAATGTATATATGAAACTAAGGAACCAAGATATAAAAAAATAAAGCAATGTCGTTGAGAAGGAAGTTTACCTTTCCGGAGCGACAGCTCAAGGTGTGCCGGGAGCCGGTTGGGTTGATGCAAACCGGAGTTTTGCCATGTCCAAGGTGTCCCGGGGTCGTGGTGGAGCCGTTCCCTGCGGAGCCGGTGCGGTGGTGGGATGAGGTGCTCAGATGTACGTGGGTGTAGGGTTTGGTCAGAGGTGTGATCTCGGTGCTCAGCGGTGCTTGGTCGTGGTGTGTGGACATGGTGCTGAGACGCGGTGTTTGGCCACGCACCGTGGATGTGATGCTTGGGCGTGGTGGTCAGTCACACACTGGGGACATGGTACTGGGACACAGTGTCTGGTCACACACCGTGGATGTGATGCTCGGGCGTGGTGGTCAGTCACACACTGGGGACATGGTGCTGGGACACAGTGTCTGGTCACACACCGTGGATGTGATGCTCGGGCGTGGTGTGCGGACATGGTGCTCAGACGCGGTGTTTGGCCACACACTGTGGACGTGGTGCTCGGGCACGGTGGTCAGTCACGCATCGGGGGCGTGGCACGTGGACATGGCGCTTGGACGTGGTGATCAGTCACACACCGGGGATGTGGTGCTCAGACGTGGTGCGTGGACACAGTGCTTGGATGTGGTGCTTGGCCACGGTGCTCGGACATGGCACGTGGGCATGGTGCTCAAGCACAGTCACACATCGTGGATGTGGTGCTCGGGTGTGGTGCTTGGACATGGTGCTCGGGCACAGTGCTCGGCCAGGCATCACGGACATGGCATGTGAACGTGGTGCTCGGACCTGGTGTTCAGACATGGAGCGTGGACATGGTCACACATCGTGGACATGGTGCTCGGGTGTGGTGCTCGAACAGGGTGTGTGGACATGGTGCTCGGACGCGGTGCTTGGACACAGTGCTCAGCCACACATCGTGGACGTGGTGCTCGGGCGTGGTGCTCTGCTGTGGTGCTTGGACGTGGTGTGTGGACACGGTGCTCGGGGCACGGTGCTCGTCCACAGCCCACGGACACGGTGTGCAGGCACCACGCTCGGACATGCTGTGTGGACACGGTGCACGAACGTGCTGTGTGGACATGGTGCTCGACCACGGTGTTCAGAGGCAGTGCACAGACACGGTGCTCTGCTGTGGTGCTTGGACTTGGTGCATGGACGTGGTGCTTGGGCACGGTGCTTGACCACGTCGTGGACATGGTGCATGGATATGGTGCTCGGGCACGGTGCTCAGCCATGCGCTGTGGACGTGATGCGTGGGTACGGTGCTCAGACGTGGTGCGTGGACATGGTGCTCTGCTTGGTGCTTGGACTTGGTGCATGGACTCGGTGCCTGACCATGGTGTGTGAACACGGTGCTCGACCGCAGTGCTCCGACATGACGTGTGGACACGGTGCTCAGTCAGGGGGTGAGAACACGGTGCTTGGCCACGTCATGGACATGGTGCTTGGGGACAGTGCTTGACCATGTGTCATGGACATGGTGCATGGACGTGGTGCTTGGGGACGGTGCTTGACCATGTGTCATGGACATGGTGCATGGACGTGGTGCTCGGGGACTGTGCTCAGCCATGCACCATGGACGTGGTGCTTGGGGACAGTGCGTGGACATGGTGCTCTGCTTGATGCTTGTACTTGGTGCTTGGCCACATGTCACGGACATGGTGGATGGACACGGTGCTCAGATGTGGTGTGTGGACATGGTGCTTGACCACGGTGCTTGGACTTGGTGCATTGACTCAGTGCTCAACCACGATGTGTGAACACGGTGCTCGACCACGGTGCTCAGCCACGGGGTGTGGACGTGGTGCTCAGACGTGGTGCTCAGACGTGGTGCTCTGCTTGGTGCTTGGACCTATTGCATGGACTCAGAGCTTGGACAGTGGTGCTCTGCCACGTGTCATGGGTGTGGTGCTTGGCCGTGACGGGTGGACATGGCACTCGGACATGGTGTGTGGGCACAGTGCTCAGCCATGAGGGGTGAACACGGCACTTGGCCGTGGGGTGTGGGCGTGGCGCTGAGCCGGGATGTGTGACCGTGGTGCTCGGACACGGTGCTGGGCCCAGTGCACGTGGTGTTGTGCACACACGGAGCACGTGGTGTTGTGCACACACGGAGCACGTGCACCACGTGTGGGTACCGTGTGTGGGTTCCACGTGTGGACGCAGCGCTCAGGCACCGCGCACGACCACGGGGCTCGGATGAGCTGTGTGACCGTGGTGCTCGGGGACGCTGCTCAGACACACGTGGTGCTGGGCTGGGTGCAGGGGCATGGAGAGGGTGCTGGGCACGGTGCATGGACGTGGTGCTCGGGCACGGCGCTCACACACCAGGCACAGACATGGTGCTTGGGCACAGAGCGTGGCACAGCTGTAGTGCTCGGGCGCTGTGCACCCCCCCCATGGCACCCCCGTGGTGCTTGGGCACAGCACCCCTGACCCCACGGCACAGCCCCCCCAGCACCACCTGGCCGGGCCCTAATCCTGGCACTGCCCCCCTGCACCGTGCCGGCCCCACACCCCTGGTGCTGCCCAGCGCCGCAATCCCGGATCCCAGCACCGCGTCCCGCACCGCGATCCCAGGCTCAGCCCCACATCCAGCCCCACATCCAGCCCCACATCCAGCCCCACATCCCCCCCGCGTCCCCCCGGCCCTGCCCCGCGCCCCCCGCGCTCCCGCAGCTCCTCGCGCTCGTCCCCCCCCCACCCCCCTTCGCCCGGCTCTTTTCTTTCCCCCCTCCCCCACCTTTTTTTTTTCTTTTTTTGGGGTTTTTTTGGGCCCACCTCCCCCCCCCCCCCCCCCGGGCAGCAGCCCACCCGCGCCCCTCAAGGCAAATACCTCAGTCCCCCCCAGCCCCCGCCAGCGAGTCCGGGGTGAATCTTTCCGAAATCAGGGATCCTTTCGCAGCGGTGTTTCCTCCTCCTTCATTTCCCCCTCTTTGTTTTTGCCCTCCTTTTCTCCCCCCCCCCCTTTCCGCCCGGGTTTTTCCTCAGTTCTCCGCATCCTTCAGGGATTTACAAACCGCCGGAATTTCAGCCTCATTTTAATTTCGGGAGCGAGGAGGTTTTTGGGGGTTTCTTTGTTGTTTTTTGGATTTTTTTGGGGTTTTTTTTTGCCGGTGGGTTTTTTTCCGCACCGCGGCGCGAAGGAAAAAAAGGAGGCGATAATTCCGAATTAAAATCCAGGCGCCGTTTCTTCTCGGATTCGGGAATTCGGTCGGAGGCGGGGGGGGGGGTTTTTGGGGTTTTTTTGGGCTTTTTTTTTTTTTTTGGGATAATCGAGGACGGGAGGTGGGACGGCGGCAGGTGGAGGGAGGAGACATCGCACGGGTGTCCCGGCGGCTCCGAAAAATCACACTTGAAGATTTCTTGGTCGGCTCGGGACTGTGGTTACTTGAAATGAAGTTTTTTTCCGGGGCGGATCGAGGACCGGTAGATTTTTTTCCCATGTCTCAAGGCAATAGGATTAATGTGTATTAAACTGTAGATACTTCTAGGACAGTAAATTTATGCTGATAATTTTATTTTGTATAATTTTCCCCTCTTTCTTCCCCTTCCCCCCCTTCTTTGTGTTGTTTTATTTCCCTTTAACGCCCTTTTCTTTCCCCCAGTGTGTCGGTAAATTTATTTTTTAGGATGCCTAAAAATTGCAAGTTTGGATCCTCCCCCTCCCTCCCCCCTGGTTTTGGTTTTCTTTTTTTTGTTTGTTTATTTTTTGTTCTGTTGTTGTTTTCTGTTCTTTTTTTTTTTTAATTTGTATTTTATTCTGAGTTGGCGCGGCCGTGGGGCCGTGGGCTGTATTATTCCTGATATCTTTAAAATATTGTGGGTGTTTTAATAAATTTTATATTTATTTTTTGCACTCAACATGTGGCTCCTCCACGGCTTTGTGTTCCCGGATGGAATGGGATGGGATGGGAATGGGCGGGGAGGGGGGGGCGGGATTGAGATGTGGGGTGGGAATGGGGGGCAGGATGGGGGTCTGTGGGTCTGGATATGGGAATGGGGGGG